AATTATTTTTTAAAACAATTTTTATATCACTATAGCTCGGCAAGTCTCTAACTAAAAAATAATTAGTGCAATATTCCCATATTGTGGAGACTATAGGCGTATCATGTGAAATGCATTATCAAAACGAGAAAATTATAATTAAACCGCGATCACTCTGTCAAGCCTAAACGACTGAATTTTATTCCGATATTGAAGTTATTTTTTTTTAATACATATATATTAAATATTCCTCCCATTTTTTTTCATGCGTTGATATTTTTTTTTTTTTTTTTTTTCACACAACGCCATCTAGTCCCAAACTAAGCAGAGCTTGTACTATGGGTACTAGACAACTGATATAAATACATATGTACTTTTTTTTTGTAAATACATACATATTATACATAGTTACATATTATACATTTACTACGAGATAACGTTTCTCAATCAATACTTTACAAAGTACAAAATAAACTAATCGCTGAGTTATAGCGTTTAAACCAACAATTTTGATAAAAACACTCTTTAGGTTGAGTAAAACAGTAAATATAAAAATTTAAAAGTTTATTTACATGGAAATTGATAAAGTAGTTGCATTATAGTACTAATATATATTATATTCTATGAAAGCAATATCTTGCCGTACATGAAGTTTGAACGACCCAACTACCGTAAGTAGTTGTACTTAATTAATAATGTACTTACATCGACCTAGAAGTCTGTGCAAGCTCTTCCTAGTTTCCTCGACATTCTAAACTGTAACGATATTTCAAAATCAGTTCTAAACTTCGCGCCCAATGATGGTTCGTATAATGGACACAAAATATTTTTATTTGTATTTGTTGTTTTTTAAGTATTTATTTGGTAACTTTAGTTTGGGAATACCACACTAGGTTACTTAAGAAAATCGATCCGAAAACCACGGATGTCGGCTATCGCCTATGTCCTTCGTCAAGAATCAAAGTATCTCCATGCCCAATTTCATTAAAATCGGTTCAGCGGTTGTGCCGTGAAACCGTAACAGACAGAGTTACTTTTGCATTTAAAATATTAGTAGGGATTTTGTTAATATTGCATTGGCACTACACGTACGAAATGTTACAGCTTTAAATTTATTCAATGTTGTCGCTTTAGTTCAGCAAAGCATTAAGTGTAACAATACATGTTTCGTAAATAAATGTGATTATATTTAATTTCTAGTGAATATTATTCAACTATTACTTAACTAATAAATAACCAATACCAACAATAGTTTAAAATCAATACTTAATGAATAGGACGCAAGTTTGTGTTCATATTATTTTCGTTCCCAATTATTTTAATTGAATTATAGTCAAATTTAACAAAAAACTAGACAAATGCTTCTCTGGATCACGCACCGAGGGTTCCCTATAAACTTAAATGTACATAGCTTGTTCATCCATCTTAAAAATAGATTCTCGCCGATTTTTTCCAAGTGACCAACTTAACATTCGCGTTCTAAAAATACTATCTTACATTTATGTAGGTCGTTGTCACTATTCTAAACACCAATACACCATACTCGTTCATTTAAAAAACGAGACTTATAAGAATTTGTCAACTTTCAAATTTGTTTTTACTTGTGATGTAAGTCCGTATTTTCTGGAAAAAAAGACCTTTCTTCCGTCCTTTCCTGGAATCTTGTACCTGTAAAATGTTATCATAAATATATTATTATTTATGTCTTTTAACTTAATTTAAAGTTTAATTTTTTTATACACACTTATATATGTATTTGATGTTAATTTAAACTTGATATATTTACAAATTCCCGAAAACGGTATTCACAAACACACAGATAGAAAGAAAAAGGGATATCGAAATGGTCCTATCTAATGGACTTCATTTTTCCTTTTGAACGAAACCCTAAAAAAAAATGTCTCTCCCTAAATATGAACTGTTAGACCTCAATATCAACAAATAGTCCTCTAAAAATTTTGCGACATTTATTGGTTAATCACGTCAATTAGAGCTAAAGCAAATCAATTTTCTTACTCAATATTTTATTTAATATTGAAACTGGAAGATTTTTTCAGTTTATGATGTAAATATATGGTAAAATAAATAGTCATAAATATAGTCCATATTTTTATTCGACAGTTTGAATTCTAATCAAAAAGTTAATTAATGTTTAGAAAGCTGGTTATTCTTCATTATTATGTTATTTATACGGGGCTTTAATTCTGTAAAAGCCGCTTGAAAACGGAGCCTTTGACTGGGTCGTTGGCTCGTACTCGTTGCCTCGGGCAAGGGCCAACGCTTGTAGCTCACAGAAAGTACTGACATGAGGCTTAAATGAAACGAACTCAGACAGTAAACTTTCGGTAGCTTTCATTTTGTTTTGAACGCATGTTATATTGAATACACGCACGACATGCCGGCATTATTTTGAAGTTTCTAATTACTTCAGGGCACGGCTGCGGTCCCGATGAAAATTACGTTGGAATTTAGTTCCATACACAAAACTCTCGTTTTAAAATATTTTTATGGCATACAAGCAGATGGGTCAACTCGCTAAGTGATTACCGTCGCCCATGAAAACCTGCAACTCAACCCTCATAGGTGCTTTGCCGCCCTTGGAGTCTTCAACCTCCAGGTCCGGGGGAGGGGGGGTTTAGGCTCCTAGAACTCACTTACTCAGTACTAAGCATCGAAATAATTACTTTACACCGTGGTAGCACTCCGGTCGAGCTGGTCCATATGCGCCGAAGCAAGGATCTTTTATCTGGCCATTTATAAACTTCAGAAGAATTATAACATATTTAGTACCCTCTTGAAAACAAACAAAAAACAGAATCGCTGTGGTGTGAACAAGGTTATGGAGAACAAGGATTGTACGGACTCAGAAGATTGATAACATTACCTGTGATAATTTTAACAGTATTCATAATAATAATTTCATACAGGCAGAGACCGTACTGTGGTAACCAGACTGCTAATAAATATCATCACATCATCATCAACTTTGAATAGCCTTGAATAGTCCACTGCTATACATAGGCCTCTCCTGGTCGGGGGGTGACAGGTGAGGCCATCTGTCACCCTAGCAGAAGCAGGTCGGGGTAGCAACGAGTGCGTTGCGAAGCGCGCGCGCCCTTCCGAGAGCACAGAGGGAACATGGGGGTTCCCACACAGGAGGGGTCGTCTTCCCGCCGTACGGATACACCGGATTTTTTATAATTATTATTTTTTAAACCTTTAACCTTTGATAATGTCCTAAAGCGAAATCGGTCAGTTCAAATTTCAATTAAAGATTGGAATAAAAGTACAATTGAGTTTGATTTCATAATGTATTTCAACAAGTTGCACCAAGTGCCGACAATCGATAGTATAAATTCTAGACTGTATTAAAGAAATAAATATACAAAAATCATTTTAAGAAATTTTATTATTCACAGTTCTGAATCAGTTCTTTATTTTTTTAAACTTAACCATTGAATTTTACTTTACGTTCAAATCACATTGATTGGTTCATAACGTGCAGCATCTTGCTGGAATTGAGGTCGGGTTTCATTTGAGTTTGACGTGCTCTAATTATTGAGAACAAAGGATGATAGTTTATTGTCCCATGCTACTCCGGCTCACAAATTAACTAAATGTTATTGACAATTACAGTCCACAATCCCCTTACATTTATGACCGGTTTATTTAATACTCATGTAGGCAGACTACGTTTGATCCTATGGTGAGTAACGCGTCTTGCAAGTGTGTTATGTGGGTTTATTATTATGAGGAAGTATTCCTAATTGATTTAAACAATTTATTTAATTTAAAAAATAATATTTATTTATTTTCACATTATGTACATTTGGTGCATTGTCGGATTTAATTACTAAGGCATTCTCTACCATTCAACCATTGGGTGATGCAGAGAAAACAGGAAGTAGGTGCATTTTAGTTACAGTTAATTTAGACATTTAATATTGTATTTATACTTTGTACAAAATCATATAAAATATACACATATACAAATCTGTCATATACTGCACCTATACTTTCGACACGCTTTTTTTTCTAGTGGTTAGTGACCCTGACTGCTAAGCCGGAGGACGAGAGTTCGATTCCGATCCACGACAAGTAATTGTGTGATGAGCACGATGATGCATTCTGTGTCTGGGTGAATTTTATCTATGATATGTATGTATTTGGTTGTTAGTCAGGCAATCGGAGGCGGCTACTCAATAATATAATACATTGATCTGTGTTCATAACATCCATCTATTCATATACTCGTAATTTATTGCTATGTGAACTTTACTAAACTAATGTAAAATCCTTTATGTTGCAACAATTGCATTGTTACGGGAGTATGGAGTGATAATGTTTACACCAACGTGGTCGGATATTCTAAGACTGTTAACCATGATTGGCTTGGGCTGAATAACAGCGGATGGCATGCTTTGCACTGTCATCTACACGCTGAGTCCAAGACCATTTTGTATTTAGTATTATTCATTATTCAAGCATTGTTATTAATTTTAAGTACGCGATGTAAAAGACAAATAAAGTTTTTCTTGTTCTTATTTAGAAATAAAAGTATATTTATCAACAGTCTGGTTACCGACAGGTTCACACAGGTTCTGCCTAGTTTGGAATCAGACGGCCGTGTGTGAGATGTGTGAACTAATTATTATTAAAAAAAAAATATGTAAGTTACTCCTCAACTACCAGACAGTAAATGATGTAAGTTGCCGTCCTTTGTGTCCCCCCAGAATCAGGTGTAGGGGAGGTTTGGGCTCCGGTAACCTCACTCATTCGGTGAAAAGCAATGAAATAATTGATTAGCATCGCTTTTCTGCGATTTGATTTTATTACAGTTGAGACGGCCCTTTTATGTGAAAGGATCAACAACAACAAATCGTTTAATGTTATAGAAGTTTCATCAACTTTAAATCTTTTTTTAATATTTCTTTGGACACATCATCCTAGATTCTCTAAATTGTACATTTTCTTTAAAATTATCTTCTAAGTATACACAGTTTAATTTATGTTTTTTATAGGTTCTCAGTGTGCAAGTCTGTGAAAGTGCGGTCGGCGTGTTCACGGCTCTGGTGCGCCGATCGCGCCATGCCCCATGTCTGCCGCTCTAAACGAGCGCCCCCACTTGAAGGAACGCCTTGTGGATATAACAAAGTAAAGTATATCTACCCAAGTGATATATATAAGTGTATGCCAACAAATAAGTAGTGCATGATGTGCACACCTATAAGATATTGTTACAATTAGTTATGAGACTATAGAATGTATCTCATGTCATTGTATCAGTGCATTCAATTGTTGATTGAAAGATTAATATTAATTAAATATTTTAGGGTCGATCTTTGGAGCTGGTAGCCCCACCGCCAGTGACACCTGTTTTACTAGTTATTTTACAACCACAAGATCTGAAAGTTATAAAATAAAATAAATAGTAAATAGATAACTCCTAGTTAAAATGTATACCTACTTTTTGTACCGTTGAAATACAATAATTTGTAACTTGACAAGGGAGTTTACGGAACTGTCAAACTAAAATATTTTTTGACACTCCGCTTAAACAACTAAATCGCTAACAAGTAACATAAACATCCACGAAACCTGTCTACATATACAAATCAGAAACTTACGAGTATTTCATTAAGTACCCGTGCATAACGTTCCATTGAACCAACCTAGATAATAAACACACAGATATAAACAGTATACTATGCATTATAATCGACGAATGTGAAAGTGAAATAACAATAAAACAAATCACTCAAAGATTTTCACCTCATAGTGATACAACCATAAGGTTGTACATAAATATAGGTATAAACTTATTACTTACTTAACACTCATTTATGAGTGTTAAGTAAGTAACCTACCAATCTGCCAATAAATAAATCTACCAATTATATTTTAGAATATTGTAACAAATAGAGCATTCCGTTCGGATTCGCGTGACATTCTTTTTTATACCTTACAAGGGATTCCATCAGCATTCACACACGTAAGGAACGTGTGCGCGCATAAATTCAATAAAATCCTTTGTGAATGTGTTTTTCAAGCTATGCAAATGACGAGTGCTGGGACCGGCAGATAAATACCGACGTTGAGGCGCATACTGTTGAACAAAATCGTGATATAACACAGCAATCCTAGAACTTTAACGTTAATACAACATTGCATGACGATTTAAAATCAATTTCCATCAGAGGCTTTCCAATAACAATGTGCCCACTTAATTACAATACCAGCCAGTTTTATTAACGATGCTCGGCAATATCTCTCATAGGACTTCTTAGAAAGTAATTGGCTTTAAACGTTATAGGAACGCCTCTTAATGTTTTTCTTGGGATTTCTGAATTGTAGATGAACGTCCTTAAAATTTGGAATGAACTCAAAACACACAAAACTCAGATTACGTTCTGTTAATAAACATGAGACCTTGTTAAGAAAGCTTGTAGTTCTACAAGCATAGAAAGAGTAGAAACAGATGCTAAAATCATTTTTCGTAAAGAAAAAAACATAATTCTAATCTTCTAGTAACTATCTAACCTTGCTAAATATTATAAATTTTAATCTGCTTTGAGACTTCGAGTGATAGTAATTTTATCGCTCTTCACTGCGCACTAGGTGCACAGAGCACATTGTATTCTGACTGAGACATGTTGGATCAATGCCTATAAAACATGAAGACCAGACTTAATTTAAACTTAACTTAATTAAAATTTGTCTTATGGTATTTAGTAACTTTCAAAATACAAGAAATAAAAATTTATATCTGGTTTCACTTCGTAGTTACATTTTCCTATGTGCGATAACGATTTATGTTGATAAAGAAAGTTAAATGGTTGTCGTCTTCCATTCATATAATTAAAATTTATATCATGTGCAACTCTCAGTTTAAACACCTTTTTAATTATTTATTTATGGATACCCAACAACTTGACAACTGAATTAAAAAAATTACATAAACATAAGTTTAACTAGTTACATGGCATTAGTTTACATGCATAATTTCATGTAATCAATTGTAAATATTATACTGTAACACACAGTGCATGCTGGCTTTACCATTGCCAATAAATTAGATCGTAGTTGAGATTAAAAAATGTAGTAAAAACAAAAAGATATAGTGTCTTTAAGTGAGTCGTAGAAACAGGTAAATATAAGGAATCGTCCCACTACACCAATGCTAAGATTATATCGAATACATTAAAATATTATATTAAGAGGTTATAGACTTTTGTTATATGTCTAAATATAATATGCCCCGGGCAGTCCGCCGATGCACATAAATGCATGAAGATGTAAAATAAATAAATAATATACCTTTTACTACCGATAATGAAGTAACAGTATATCGTATACACGGTTTTAACTTAGATGTTAAGTTTAAAATTTCACATCTGCGACTAATCATTTGACATAGCATAACATAAATTTAACACAGGTGTTAAGTAGACTCTACGTACGTAATACGCACCATTTACCCTGGTTTATCTTATAATACCTAAATGTTACTTGTATGGTAGGCTTGGCTTTAACGGCTTTTATTACTGTTATCTTTCAGTAACCCACATTAAGGCTTCAAATAATAAATACTTTAATATGAGGTATGTACCGTAAATCAAGACCTCTTTGAGATGTTTTTAGAGATTCCGACAGATTACACAGGGCATTTTTTATTTCTACTGAATAATTGATGTTTTGTTTTTTGAGATATTTTATAGATGATATATTCTAAAGACAGTATACCCCATTTTTTTGCATATTAAAAAAAAGCCATTTAAGTAACCTGGCGTCATTTGACCATTTGCTAAAAAGTAAAAGTAGAGCAGTTAACTATGACGTCTAAATAATCTATATATATCTAAATAAAATAGACTTTCAGTTATAAAAAAGTCTTTATACTGATGATTTACTATTCTTATTATCATCATAATCATCATCAACAACCTATAATAGTCCACTGCTCGACATAGGCCTGGTGTGTGTGTGTGTTTGTACGTTTGTTACTTCTTCACACTCAAACGACTGGACCAGTTTTGTTAAAATTTGTTATGAAGGTGGCTGACACTCTGGATTAACACATAGGCTACTTTTTATTCTGAAAATATTAGTGTTCCCATGCCATAAGCAAGTAATTGATACAGCTTCAAGTTCTAACGAAATAGAAAAATCATGTTTAAACAGTAAAAAATATTGTTTATTTAAAATGCTAGTTCCTACTCACGCTTTTTGTTTTGTATTGCAGTGGTGTGTGGACCGTATCTGCGAGCCAATGCCTGGACACGCATTAAAGACTGAGAGAAACGAAAACACACAGGTTACTGTGAACAGATTTGATGAAAAGAAGGGAGAGAAACCAGAGTGGACAGAATGGGAAGCGTGGAGTGAGTGTAATGTCAAATGTGGATATGGATTGCAGACGAGATTACGGCGGTGTCGGTATAGGGGGTGAGCATCACAGCAAACTTTTTACAAAGCAAACACTACAGTTCTTAAATGATCAAAAATGTTTTAATGAAAGTTCAAAAATGTTATCACATCATACGATGTTATCATATACGTATTCGCAGTGTCCAGCTCATAATTGAAATTGACTGACTAACTCGCAGTAACAGTTCTTGAACAAATATTTTATTTTACTTCATTGAAAGACTTATTTTGATGGATCTTATAACATATCACATCTCATAACAGAGTTACTTAAAAATACTTGCGGTCACTACCGCAGGGTTCGGGATTAGGAAGAAAAAATATTCGTAAAGTACTTTACTTAGGAAAAGGAAAGGACAATGAAAGTGGTCCCCACAGCAACAATGTTTATTTTGTCGACTTTACCTCATCTTTGGGTTTTATTTACATAACAATTCAATTCACCTCTGTAAAAACGGATTTTTTGATTACATACAATACAGTCTAGTATTTACAGTGTACTAATTAGTGATGTGCCGGATATCCGTATCCGCATCCGTATCCGCGGATATCCAAGGGTGAAGAGAGATCCGTAACCGTATCCGTATCCGTGACTTTTTTGGCGGATCTTTCAATACATATTACATAGATGAAATTCTATTTAGGTTATTTTGTATTCACTGTAAAACTCTTAGGTATGTGTTTGTAACACTACAGCAACTTTTTTTCTGGCCAACGTCAAAATGAAAAAAAATTGGTCCTCCATTCAAATGACCAATCAAATGTTGTTAGTTTGTATGGAGAAACAATTTTTTTTCTTTCGTTTTCGGTGTTAGTCCAGAAGAAAAGTTATTGTTTATAATGTTACTAATATGCACTTCAGAGGTTTTCAGTAAATTTAAAATAACTCTCAATAATGGTTATTATGTAGCTATGAAAAACTATTGAATTCTGTTCAGATTACTTTTTATTTCTTAAAACAAATATTTGGCACCTTTGTATTGCAATCATTTATCGTACTATACTAAATCAACGAGGCAGGTCGTAGGTACTGAAAGAGCTATCATTATAATGAGATCAATCAAACATCTTTGTATTATCTTATTAAAATAATGAAATATTTAAATATCAACGACAAAGCGTCAAGTGGCGACAACTATCAAGGTCACGGGCTCCGATTGAGTAAGAAACTTAAGATCCGTATCCGTATCCGTATCCGCGGATCTTGACACCAAATATCCGTATCCGCGGATATACTTTGTTAACGATCCGGCACATCACTAGTACTAATATACAATATATGTATATTTATGTATGTGTGTGTGTATTTGTAATGTAAGTTTATGTTTTATAATATCATGACAGCCTTTAACAGTGCACTGGCCAGACGGGTTGGTCTAGGGTGGGGGTGCTAGCTAGAAAACCTCCCCGTGGTGCACCCTGGAAACGCTGGCGATGGTACTGTTTCCTCCTTGTCCTCTTGGAGGAGAGGATTATCGCCAGCGGCCAATATTCTAGCAGAAGAGGTAGCCGTTCATCGGCTCTCGGGCAAGGCCTGGTCCAGCAGGGTGGGCGTGTCTGCCGGTTGCCCTGCTGGCTCTTCGCTCTTCGGAGCATGGAGGAGGAAACCTCGGTAAAAAACCTGATGGCGGGGCCCTGTAGGGGCCACAGTTTCTCCGCTGACAGCGGTGGAGAAAGGAGGACGGGCTCGGCGTGCACTCACACTACCACCGAGCAGGCAGGGGGACGTAGTCTCCCTGTCAACCGTCGGCATATCGTAATCCCGAGAAGAGCGCTGTGGTTAAGTCTCGCGGCTCTGATCGGGGGCGAGGGTCTTGGCTTAACCGCCCGGACCGCGAGGAAGATAACCTCTCTAAAAAATTCCCCGAATCCCGTGTTCTGGTGCGTGGCCAGGGGATGCATGGCTGATGGGAAGTTCAGTCGCGAGCGCACTCCAAGCCGAGGTACCTGCGGACCCCTCGGTTGGGTTAAAAACTTACGCTTGCCCGGGTAATGGGGGATCTCTGCCCGGGTGGACCTTTTAGTTCTCCCCCACTCGTGGGACTTATTATGGAAAATATTAACTCAAACATTAAAAAGACGATCGGAACCAACCAACAAACGAAAAAGGCAAGCCTAAAGGACATGAAAGCAAAAGGAAGGAAGGACAAGCAGAACAGTGGAGCGGATGGGTCGTCCACTGAGGGTGAGATGGTGTCAGGAACGCCTATCTCGATGGGGCTCCCAGAGGTCAGTCTGACTCTGGTCACTGGGAGCCGAAGAGCATCGGATCGGCTGCGTTCCGGATCCGCCGCTTCATCGGATGGCGCGGAGGCCATGGAAGCGGAGCGGAGCGACAGCCGGAAACGCGGACGCTCCAGGGAGGAGGGGACCGACACGTCCGGCGAAATGATGCCACCAAAGGTGGCAAGCAGCCGCCGAGGGAGGGCGCGTAAACCGGCCTCGGCCTCGGTCTCGACCCCGTCAGGCTCCGCGTTCCCAAACGCGGAGTCCTACAGGAGCGTACGAGTGGACGGCGAGGCCGTAGCGGAGGAGGAGATCGCGGATCTCCTGCTCAAGGTTCGGGAGCCGGTGGGGGGAAATGCCCCCCAGGCTCCCGTGTCCGTGCAGGAGAGGGCGAAAGCGGCGGTGGCCGTCATCAACAAGGTGGCCACCAAATCCGTGAACCTTGAGGGCTCGTTTGTGAGGGCCCTTAAGGACTCCTCCTCCGCTTTGTCGGAGGTCGTGGAGGGCCTAGCGGGCGACGTCTCTCGCCTGCAGGTGGCCAACGAGAAGCTGACGGAGCGGGTGAACGAGCTGAGCGCTCAGTTCGCCCGCTTCCAGGCGAACCTCCCCGAGCGGGAAGCCCCGTCCGCGTCCCAGCCTGCCCCTACCACCAACTCAGGGGCATTTGACTCCCAACTGCGAGAAATCCTCATCGCAGTTGGGAATATGCTGGACGGACGCCTGGCTGGCCTGGAGGCGAGATTGCCTCCTGCGCCGATTATGCGCCCCCCGCTCGCCTAAGGCCTAAGGCCGCCGCTCCGACCGCGCTCCCCGTTGTGGGAGGCCGCGTTTCTTACGCGGCGGCGGCGTCTGCCCCTACTCCATCGGCTCCACAAAAGCCGACGAGGAGGGGGGGCCAAGGCACCGGCCCAGGCGCCGGCCAAGGCACCGGCTAAGGTGCCGGCCAAGGCACATCCCCAGGCGCCGGCCAAGACGGGGCCTAAAACGGCGCCGAGGAGCGGAGTGGCATTCCCTCCGCTCCCCACTCCGACACCCCTGCCGGGCCCCTCCGCACCTGCCCCCTCCAACGAGGGTTGGCAGGAGGCGAGGGGCTCCAAGAAGTCCCGAAGGCGGGCCAGAAAGGCTGCCCAAAAAGCAGCCCAAGCCCAGCCTTCGCCACCGGTGGCAACGGCCTCTGCAAAGAGGCCGCGGAAGCTGCAGCCGCCCAAAACCGCGGCTGTAGTTGTGACCGTGTCCCCGGAGGCGGCTGACGGCGGGCTGTCCTATGCGGCCGTCTTCAAAAAGGCCCGGGACAGCCTCGCCAACGAGTTTGGGACGGTGGGGGTCAGGATGCGCCTCGCCCAGACGGGAGCTCGAGTTCTCGAGTTCCCTGGGGCTGAAGGCGCAAAGACGGCGGACTCCTTCGCTGAGAAGCTGCGGGGAATATTTGCAGCCACAGATGGTGTCAGGGTCGCCAGGCCTACCAAGTGCGCGGAACTGCGCATCTCGGGCCTGGACGACTCAGTGACGGCCGAAGATGTCCGCGCTGTAATCCGGGAGAAGACGGGGTGCAGCGCGGACAACGTCAGGGTCGGCACCATCCGCCCCGGTCCAGGAGGGCTTGGCGCCGTGTGGGTCAGCTGTCCCGTAGCGTCGGCCAAAGTATTGGCCGACGCCGGCAGGCTGCTCATCGGTTTCGTGAGCGCCAGGATCACAGTCCTGGCGGCGAGACCGATGAGATGCTACAAATGCCTAGCATCGGGACACACGCGCGTCAAGTGCGACAGTTGTTTTGACTGCGGCGGACTGTGTTTCCGCTGCGGTCAACCGGGGCATAAGGCGGCAGAATGCTCTGCCGCCCCTCACTGCCCAGTGTGTGCGGCGGGCAATAAGCCCGCCAATCACCAGATGGGGCAGAGAGGCTGCAAGCCTCCCCGCAGTTCTCGGCAGACGTCGGGGGTTAGCCAGTCGACCCAGGCTGCCTCCGATATAGTTCGTGCGTCGACGTCGTCGCCCATGGAGGAGGTTGTAGAGACGATCCAGTAATGGATCAAGTCTCCAACCTCCTGGTCCAGACGAACCTGAACCACTGTGCCGCGGCGCAGGATCTCTTCCTGCAAACCATGGCACAGTGGTCGATAGGTGTTGCCGTAGTCGCGGAGCCCTATTCTGTCCCTCCCCGTCCAAACTGGATGGGTGACTGGGACGGCTCTGTGGCAGTCGTCGGTTCCACGACGGCTCATTCCCCGCCCTTGTCGCTAAGAGACAAGGGCACTGGATATGTTGCCGTCGAGTGGGGGGGGATCACCATATATGGTGTCTATTTCTCCCCCAACCGGAGTTTGAACGACTTCGAGGTTTTCCTAACCAGCTTGGAGACCTCGATACGGCGACTAGCGTCTGGGCACGTCCTTGTGCTGGGGGACTTCAACGCAAAGTCCATTGCGTGGGGTTCCCCCAGGACGGACGCCAGGGGCGAGGCCGTAGAGGAGTGGGCGGCCTCGGTGGGCCTCTGTCTTCTAAACAGAGGCTCCACCAACACGTGCGTGCGACAGCAGGGGGGGTCGATAGTGGACCTCTCGTTCGCTACCCCTGCCCTCGCCGCACGAGTAAGGAACTGGCGTGTCCTGGAAGAGGTTGACACGCTCTCGGATCACCTGTATATCCGATTTGAGCTCTCCCGGACCCAGGACTCCAGTAGGGGTCACGTGGCGCGGCGTTTATCCCGCTTTCCGCGGTGGGCTGTTGCCAGGCTGAACCGGGACCTACTAGAGGAGGCAGCCATAATTCACTCGTGGCTGTCTCCTCAGGCTCCGACCGAGGAGGTCGACGTGGGGGCTGGCCGCTTTCGCGATGCGATTACGCATGTATGCGATGCGGCCATGCCCCGCGTTCGAGGTCGTCGGCCTCCAAGGAAGGAGGTCTACTGGTGGTCCCAGGAGCTGGCGGACCTCCGTGCGGCCTGTACACGTGCCCGGAGGTCCTACACACGCAGTCGGCGGCGCCACCGTGGAGACGGTGAGGAGGACCGGCTTCATGAGGAGTACCGGCGGGCGCGGAAAACTCTGAAGCTGGCCATTAGCCGCGCCAAAAGAGGAAAAGAGACAGGAGATGCTGGAGGGTCTTAATCGTGACCCCTGGGGTCGCCCTTACCGCGCGGTGCGACAAAAGCTCCGCGCGTCGGGCCCCCCCCTTACGGAGACTCTCCAGCCCAGCTTCCTGCGAGAAGTGGTTGAGGGCCTTTTCCCACAACGAGCGGAACACACTCCCCCGTCGATGGCCTCCCTGGCCGGAGACGACGGGGAGCACGGGGAGGACAATGTTCCGCCCGTCCGGGATTCGGAGGTAGGGGCGGCTGTTCTACGGATCCGTTCCAAGAACACCGCCCCTGGGCCAGACGGGGTACCGGCCCGAGTGCTGGCCCTGGCCCTCAACCACATGGCAGACCGCCTCGGGGAGGTGTTCGACGCTAGCTTGGCGTCGGGACGCTTCCCTGAGTGCTGGAAAAGCGGGAAGCTGGTCCTATTGAGGAAGCCGGGACGGCCAGCCGATTCGGTCGCGGCCTATAGGCCCATCGTGCTGCTGGACGAGGCGGGCAAATTGTTTGAGAGGGTTCTTTCTGCCCGCATCGTCCGGCACCTCTGCGAGGTGGGCCCCGATCTGTCGGACGCCCAGTTTGGTTTTCGGGCGGGGCGTTCGACAGTCGACGCCGTGTTGCGCCTGAGGGCCGTGACCGAAGAGGCCGTGAGCTGTGGCGGCGTGCTGTTGGCGGTGTCATTGGACATCGCCAACGCATTCAATAGTCTGCCATTCAGCTGCATCAGGGAAGCACTCCACTATCATGGGGTGCCAAAGTACCTGAGGCGGCTAGTGGCAGACTATTTAGAGGAGCGTACCGTCGTGTACGAGGACCGAGAAGGTAATTTGAGGTGTCGGCCCATGTCGTGCGGTGTTCCACAGGGGTCTGTTCTTGGACCCCTCTTGTGGAACATAGGGTACGACTGGGCCCTTCGTGCCGATTTCCCCCCCGGGCTGGGTGTAATCTGTTACGCAGACGATACCCTCGTGACAGCCCGGGGGGCAAACTTCCAAGAGGCGGCGCGCCTGGCCACAGGGGGAGTCTCCCTGGTGGTCGGGCGCATTGAGGCGCTGGGCTTACGGGTGGCCCTAGATAAGACGGAGGCCCTGTTATTCCATGGGCCCCGTCGTGGTCCACCCCCTGGCGCCTCAATCGTGGTCAACTCGGTCCTCGTACCGGTTCGGGCCCAGATGAAATATCTGGGCCTGATCCTCGACGGGAGGTGGCTCTTCGACGAGCACTTCCGACAGCTTGCTCCAAAGCTGGTCGGCGCTGCGTCTGCCCTAGGGCGACTCTTGCCCAATATGGGTGGACCCAGCGTCGCGACAAGACGGCTGTACACGGGGGTTGTCCGGTCAATGGCGCTGTACGGTGCACCGGTGTGGGCGGCGGCTCTGACCGCCCAGAATAGGGTACGCCTCTGGCGCCCTCAGAGGGTAATGGCGGTCAGAGCCATACGCGGTTACCGCACCGTTTCTACGGAGGTGGCATGCGCGTTGGCCGGAACTCCCCCGTGGGATTTGGAGGCGGAAGTGCTCGCCGAAGTTTATCGGCGAGTGGCTGACTTCCGGGCGGAGAGCGGACTTCGCCCTCCGCCCGAGGATGTGCGCGAGTGGCGCGAAGCCGCTCGCCGAGCCACGATGGCTCGTTGGTCGCTCCGGCTGGAGACTCCACGCGCTGGCTTCGCCGCCGTGGAGGCTCTCCAGCCGGTCATCGCCGAGTGGGCAGGGCGGCAGCACGGGACCCTTTCCTTCCGGCTGACGCAGGTGCTTTCCGGGCATGGTTGCTTCGGAAAGTACCTGCACACGGTCGCTAGGAGGGAACTGAGTCCCGCCTGCCACCACTGCGACTGCAGTGAGGACTCGGCCCAGCACACGCTGGCGGTCTGCCCCGCATGGGCGGCGCAGCGCCGGGCCCTCACTGCAGTCATCGGAGTGGATCTCTCGCTACCGGCCGTAGTACGCTCCATGGCCGGTAGCGACAGTTGTTTTACCGCGGTCGCAACCTTCTGCGAGGTAGTAATCTCGCGGAAGGAGGCGGCGGAGAGGGCCCGGGAGGACGACCTCCACTCGGACCCGATCCGCCGCCGGCGAACCGGGCGGCGGAGGCCCGGCTATCACAGCCTCATGCCGCCCTGAGTGTGGCCGCGGGTGGACGGGGTGGGTTTCCCCTCCACCCGCATTAGTTGGCCAGCCGCGAGGGGGCGGCGTCCGCGTGTGCCGGACGTCGCCTAAAGAGAGGAAAATGTATTGAGACGGAGCCCGCACCAGGAGCGGGCTGGCGCTAGGAGGGGTCCGGATGTCTTAACAACAGCTGTTCCCGGATCCCTCCTGTTACAGGCGCAGAGTGGCACACCGTGTGGTTTTAGTCGGTCCGAGTCCGACACACCACCCCGCCGCAAACCCCGGAGGGGTGACGGTCCGAGGGGATTTCCACACGTTAAAAAAAAAAAAAAAAAAAAGGGTGTGTTTTAAGTTTTCCTTCTCTTGCAATAAATAGGGGTTGTCATTCTCTATATTCTTAATCTTTCACCACGCGGTGACGGTTTTATATATGTATTTATTGGTAAAAACAAACTTTATAGCCTTGGATTGCCGCTATCTGTCCGTGTAGTGACGAATTAAGAATACGGAGTATCACCACCCCTATTCATCTCGTGGGTGTCGTAAGAGCCGATTGAGGGAGCAAACTGCGCAGGACTTGAACAAAAAATCTATACCAATCCGTCTCGCCAGCGTGTATAGTAGGCCAAAACCTCCTTTCTAAGGAGAGGCCTATGCCCAGCAGTGGACTATTAAAGGCTGTTGATGTGATGATGATGATGTGATGAGAACCATTGATTACAACTATAACCTTACAAAATTTCTACACAATCCAAAGATTGGCTGGTAGAAAATACCCAGTGCATTTACTCAGCCGATGTATACAAGTGCATTAAGTTGTAAATAAAATAAAATATATTTGCGCATGGCCCAACAGGTTATCAAAAAAGAAGCATAGGTCTTCTTTGTTACTGATAAAATATTTGACATGAAAATGCCTTCATACTAGGAACTACGTACGTACTAGGTCAAGAGAAATATTATACACAGCAAATAGTCGACATTTACATATGATAGTATCATATATTTACGTGTAAAGATTTTACAGTTGTTTTTAACTTTTTAGCAGCAATAAATAACTTCAAGGACCTTTCTAAATCAAATATCTTCGTTCTAATTTTCTCCTTGCCTTATCGCTTGAAATACTTCTTAAGAACACTATTACGTAAAGATTTACTTCTAAGTAAAATCTGTTACAAGTATAAAACACAAGCTCCAAATTTTCCCCAACAGTGAAGGTATTTCAAAAGGCCAATAATAGTAGTATTTAACGTCCGACCTACGTCACATTTTGTGTGTCCTCTACTTTAACCGTCCTCCGCGCCCTTTTCAATAACATCAAATGTAAAACCTTTTTTATATAAAAAATAACTTCACGTCCCTATTTAACTGTCTATACCATTATACTCTTTTATCTATTATCGTAGGACAGTAATGAGGGATGGCAGAATATTGGACTGTATGAACAAAAATGTAGCTCGAAAATGATTAACAAAGCAGTTAGAGTAAAATGGACGAAAATGTAAAGAGATAACCTCAAACAAATTAGGAAACAAATTAATTATTATTTAATTTTACATTTTTTTCAGGGAAATATCAGAGAGTGCGTGTGAAGGAGCTGGCTCTCAGATGCGCACGTGCTGGGCGGGGTCGGCTTGCGCAGGGGCTAGAGATGCACGGGCTGATCTCTGCTACCGGCAATATCACCGGTTCATACCATACATACATCCCAACGGTCTGTATATACAACCATACAACCTAATTTTTCAATTTGACATTTTATATAGCGAGAAAAGCAGTAAAAAGCAGTTTAGAACTCCTTATAACATAACTGCCTCGCAGCAGTGGTAGCGTACGCGACTGCTGTGCTGAGGTCTCGGGTTCAATTCCAGGGTCGGACCAAATGTTTGTATGATCTGCAAACATGTGTTTCGGGGTTTGGGTGTCTTGTATGTATAAAATGTAGATATGTATTGACAAAAAAAAAAGTATATTGGTATTCTATCAGTCAACCTAGTTTCATAAAACATGTTCTGCTTAGTTTGAAACTAGATAGCGTTGTGTGTCAGATGTCTATTTAGGTTTTTTGTAAGTATTAATTTTATAGTTGTTTTTCTTTTCAATGTTTTTTCTATTTAGACTATATTTGTAATATTTATTTGTAATTATATTTAATACTAACATTAGTATGTAAGCAAATTATTACTAACATTATATGGAAAAAACTGAAATAAATCATTATTATTATTAAAACAACTTGAGTATAATAAACTAAAGTTGTTTGTCTTTTTCATTAATTAATAGTTTCATTGTTTTTTTATTTAATAATACAGCACTTTGATTTGTTTTTAATTTGATTTGTAAACCTTAATGTACCTACAATGAAAACATCTTCCAGATTTGCAAGGTGACCTTATTGAATGCAAATATCAGCACCTACATAAAATTCAGTCGTATATTTTTTATTTAAATGACGCCATTAATGAACACCTTTTTTATTTTTAGTCTCGGAAATGATGATACTAAAAGATATTTCAAAGGAAATTCGTGTTTCAATGTCTGCTGAATAAGATATTATGATGAATACCTATACTTGATGCTTATAAAATCCGTAATAGTCTGTAAATATTCACGGGTTCGTACTGTGTTTCGCCTTAGGCTACCAAGCGAATCGATGTCTAATTTAGCAAGCTCAGATAATACGAGTTTCACAAAGGTTCTCATGAAATTAAATGATATGAAGTAATATTTTCTCTAAAGTTAAGTTAAATAATACATTAAAGAACAACATTAAAGAATGTGTACCTACACAAACTTTATTTTGATAGCTAAAGGGATTAGGCACAAAGAATATATCAAATTATATTTAATTTTATAATTTTTCGTGCTCTCATGGGTTTTAATTTCACAATAATAATTAATTAACTATATTTAAAGAAGTTCTTGGGACCTCTCAAATAAATACGGTAGGTTGGGAATGAAAAGTCCCAAATTTGACCATTTTAAACTACATCTTGAAAACAGTTTGTGGGTGCTATTAAAACAAATAAAATAAAAAGTTCTTTTGGTTGATTATTCTGTATATGTATGCATGTATATATAATCAATATTCTTAATATTTGATAGACAGGACAAAATATGTTTTCTTATCGTCTAAATAAAATATCAACATCTTTTTTAATAAATATATACAGTAAGAAAGTAAGTTAGAACGTTATCACATATCAGCATACCTATATAGATTATTATTATTTAGTCTAGATATAGCGTTTTAAAAAAAACATATATTAACAAATAAATATACGCTTAAGAATATGGATATTTGCAGTTAGCGCATAATTAATTTCATAAGTATTACAACTGTTTAAAGGCACCATCTGACTATAATGAAGACAGAGAATTCAGTAACAATGTACAAATATAAGGATTTCGTAGTTACGAAATCATCATCATCAAATCATTAGTTAATGAGATTGTGCTATTCCCAGACACTCAGCACTGTGACATGTGGTGTGTGGAGTATACTGGTGGTTCACCATCCAACTACGGAGCTCTACCTGATGGAACTCCTTGCAGCTACAGTAAACCCTACGATATATGCTTCCAGGTAAGAACTACAATCTAAAAATATTGCAATACTCTGATCCCCCTTTTGTGTTTTCTACCATTAAAAAAATGAATCGCATCATGTAATTAAATCTTTTCGGGTGGGAATTGTTACATCTATTGATTTCAATTGCTTCTTTTACATTTCTAGATTAAAATAGACTGTTTATATTTCAATAGCTTGTGAGTTCATAGCAACTATTTTGAAAATGGCAGCGAAGAGTGATTTTAATAAGACATCAATAATATAGTTCTCCTCTCTTAACAGGAAATACTGCTTGTTGGAGGTATTCAAATTCTATAAATTCTGAATAGACTAAAAAGATCTCTTCAAACCGCTTTGATTAAAATGCAGAATTGTTATTGTACCACGAGCTTGTGAAGTTATGAAATTTAAATTTATCAAAATTTATAAACAATAGCAAGTAAAAATTTTCAAACACAAACCTATCGCCCCAAGAGCTTTAACCTAACGACTCCTCAAAAAATTGCAATTTTTTAAAAATCTGCTTGGAAATATGTTAAAAAACAAAGGTTCGTTAAAAATGTTAGAAAGTTTTATATTTTAAGAGAGTCAAACACTTTGTCGATCACTTTAGACAAGTTTTAATGGAGTATACTTATTATAGTGACAAAGTTATTTTGGGGGCGACAACTTATCGGGCACGCTGTTATTGCGGCGGTAAGACCCGTTATGAAGGATTCGCTCGAAAGGCATCACGGGACCCTCTCATATCAGCTGACACATGTGATCACCGGCAAATGATGCTTCGGGAATCACCTGTGTTTAATCTGGGTGTCTGGGTGTCACCACTGTAATTGCCGGACCGTGGAGACGGCGCTCCAGCGCGGCCACCGGAGTAGGAATTCTCTAGCTTAGTACCATGACTGCGGCCATGGTACGGAGCGACAGCGTGTTTAATCCGCCATTTCCTTCTGTGAGCAAGTTACGCTTACGAAGGAGACGGTCGAACGGGACCGGGAGAGATTAGGAATTCTTCCGGTCCGCCAGGCACGGGAACGGGCCAGGTACTGCAGGCCACTTAGGCGCCGGAGGTCGCAGAACGACCTCCATCCTCCATAGGCACAGGGCTGAGGGTGACAGGTGAGGCCATCTGTCACCCTGGCAGAAGCAGGCCGGGTTGGCGGGGCGACGCCTAATTGTAGTAGCAAAATAGAAGACCAGAAATCCTAAAGACAGACTTTAAAGGACAAATATCCATTACTTATGGAACCTTAAACGAACCTAAGTTTTAATAATGTACACTATGTCCACAGGGTACCTGTGTGAAAGGTCTCTGCAACTCAACTGATCCTGAGTGCAATTGGTGTCCAGATGGCTACTGCAATAACAACACACACATATACACCAGGAGGCTTGGCAAAGGTAACTAAATTTCAGGCTCTTCAAGACAATCGTGTAAAGCCTGACCAGAACATCTGACCCTGGGGCATTTTTATAGTAACACTAACCATAGTTATTTGTATTGATGATAGGACAGATTAAAAATGTTAAGTTGGTTTGGGAATGCTTCTTAAAAGTTTTGTTCACAAAGTTCTGTACCGATTGAGCTCAAATTTTGACACGATATGCCACACACTTCAACGATGGTTTTTATCTATTTTTTGCAACCACAATGCGCCACAGTCACATTAGTGTACAAAATGTGTACCAGTAAGAATAGTGAATGACACTCTATTCAACCAAAATGATAATTAATTATAAGCGCTGTATACATTCTAATAAAATTATTTTACTGTTTAAATATTCCCTCAAAAGATTAGATGACTTTTCCTATTCATTTATTTCTAAATGAGTTCATTCCTAAAGTTTTAAAGTATAAATTGAATGTTTGGAGCGAAAGCGTAATTTAGTTAAATTTTCATTATTTATAGAATAGATGTTCAGTCTAGAGAATAAACTGCTCCGTCTGAGTGAACTTACTCATTCAATAATGTTTTATGAGGAGACTACTATTTTAGTTTACCAACTTCTAATCTGTGTTTATAAATACGTATACATATTTAATAAAATACGAGTATAGTTTTAATTTATAACGTGTAGTTAAGAAAAAGAAAATATTTCTTCATTTCATTATTATTAATGAAATCATTTTTTGTCATATGTATATAACCTCCGTTCTAAGGAAAGGCCTATGGTCAAGAGTGGTCTATTAAAGGCTGTTGATGTGATGTGATAGACTGATTTACCATATACTCAAAATGCCACTGAAACAAACCATACAACATATAAATTAATGTATGGGACGATATAATATTCGCGGTGTATTTGATGCAATCCACGACTGCGGTGTGTTTATTTTGCGTGATGTCATGAAAATTATTTAATCCCAACTGATATCACCGATGACATACTAGGGGAGATGAGCCAGTACCAGGGACTTCCTTTCTAGGGTATACCTGGTTCCCCGGCTATTAGTACCCGAGACGGCGTGCGGTTTTAGTCGGTTCGAGTCCGACATGCCACCGACAGGTGGTATCCGAGGGGATTTCCGCACCACAATAAATTCATACGAGTACTAGTAACAATAACCGCACACATAAGTAAAACAAAATCGATATGGGTAAATAAAGATGAACGATTAAATAAAAAAAAAATACTGTAAGCAACTAAAACCTATGATTTGATATCATAAGGGACTAAATAAAATAGGTATACTTTTTTTTCGGCCGATATAATTATATTTAACTGGCAAAGTATCACTACTGGTCATTAATTAGTTCATATCGGGGCTCATTCCTCTTTTAACTACTATTCATTTATCATTTAATTCAGAGGAGAATTAGTTTTAGAAGCTGAGGCAAGTAAAATGGTTTTATGTTGCTTTCATTAGAAGTCAAAGTTTCGATTTTCACACACGGTAAATCCACGATTGTTCGTGACCGTGTAGGTACTTGACTCGATTACCAGATTACAAGATCCTCTTGGTAACGTTAGCTATTACTGATTTTAACAATAAACTACAAAAATAAATGAGATGATCAATTATCACAAACATAACACTTAAGAGAATGCCTGTCACGAAAGGCAATTTTTCCAGTGTATAAAGTGGTAATATCTAATTGTTATATCTCAGTACCTGATAACATCTTAGATTGACCGGATTAATATGAGATATCTTTATTTTTTAAAAACTTAACAAAAACAATATTTACCATAATGCAAATTTGGTCTACTATTACAATCTTCAACTTTTTTTAATAAGTCATTATTCTTATGTGACTATATTGTCAAGCAATGACCAACTCATTTTTTTATCAAGAAAATTAAGATGACTATTAGTAAAGCATACCTACTTACTATAAAACTGACTAGGTAACAGTTAAACCATTTTTGCGATAGAAATACCTCTTGCTAGAATTGCATTTTTTTAATATCTTATGTATGTGATGAGGTTAATATTTAATCTACTATAAAAAAACATAAGGAAAATTAAATAAACTTTCTACTTTAAGGTTTAAGCATTTTTATTTTTATAGGTTGGACCCGATTGGCAATGGTACCTCACGGCGCACACCAGCTTTCAGTTCACATCACAACTCCAGTCTCTCTAAATATAGCTCTAAGAGAGCGTAAGAAGGACAGGCAAATTTTGGAACTAATCAAACACTCCAAACGCTACGATATTGACGACAATAAATACTTAAAGTACGATCCGAGCGTGCCTCAGAATCTGCAAATCGTGGAAGTGGATAATCACATAATAGACATCAAAGAGGAGGAAGTGAGATGGGAAGGGTCTGCTGTAGCCGCGGGTACTTTTCTTCGGTGGACCATTGCAGAAACGGACGTGGTTATAACATCCGACTCTCGATTACACACTGACTTAATGATAATGGTGAGTTTGAACATTTTTATTTAAGACAGAAAGCTTTATTTACTCTTCATTACTTGTTGCCTTTATATCATAGGAATATTCAACGACAGAGTGAAGTGACAATATATTAGTTGATGGATAATAATATGTAAAATAACTGACTCTCAAGCGTCGATGGTAACTTTGTCTCAATATTCCTTTTGGATGCATTAAGGCACTTATTAAATCAACTACTGTGACTGGATAAGGCTTGGTACTTTGTATTAACACCTAACAGTAGAATAGCAATAATCTGAAGTGTAAAATTAGTTACATCTTTTTGTATACGTATTTAATGATGGTTTAAAAATAGAGATTTTACATAAATAATTCAACATAAAATCAAAATAAACTAATAACCTTTCAATTAATAAAACAAACCAGACGAGTAAGTTAACATAATTTAGACGTAATTTTTGCTAGCAATGTGTGAAAATTGTAGATGACATATAGTTTGATTACGATAGACTGTGCTAAAAGTGATCACACTTTGTAGGTTTAGAGTTAAAGCTAGCTATTTCATACAAGTCATTTAAAGACATGCTCCATTTGACCGTAAACTGGACGATTTTTGCAGTTAAAGTCACAACTCAGAAACGTCGTGAAACCTTCAACCTTAATTCTATTATTGTACTATAATAAAGATATATATTTATTGGACCAAAAACCAGACAAACGAAATGATAAATAGAGAGTTTACCCCTACAATTCCCAGTGGCTCGGAAAAGTTCATACAAATCTGAATCAAGTCGGTTTGAATGTTACTCCAAATATGTTTTGTGAGTGTTATGACTCGTTGGGAAATTTATTACACCCAACTTTATTTTGAATAAAATTGCAGGTTGATTATTCAACCTGCATTTTTTTAATTCGTTGGTGATTGCCTCTTTTATACTTTCTCTTTTTTATTTGCAATAAAAAGTGTTTTAATTACACAGGTACGTTTTTTCTCAGTCAGCAATTCCTGCAACATAACACAACAACAATACATTGCTTTGCAAGTTAGAAATGTTTGTTTTTGCCCAGCTTAATTCATGAATTGAATGTTTTTGACCACAGGAAGTCGCGTGCTTTGTGCACAAAACTGATTTTAGATCAAACAAATGATAAAAACAAGTGTTATTTTATAACATACAACTAATATCTACATTAAATTCATTTACGAACATTGTAATAAATATCTATAATCATTAATATAAAAACAAAACCAGTGCGTGTCGAGCCACCCCCAATGTAGGGTTCCGTAGTTACCTGTTACAACAATGTGAACTATAAATAAGACAAGGGCGTTTTGTTATTATTATAAACATTTTACATTAACGGTTTCGGCGGCCTACAACGTCGAATTAGTTGGTCGGCTATTACTCGTAAGCTAATAAAGCCTATAAAGCTGTGATAATTTTCTTATAAAATTCGTGGTATATGCTAATACCGTAATTTTTTTCACATCTTCAAATACTGCTGTTTGGCTAGGAGAGGGAGGGTGAACACTTGACTGTAAGAAAAAGGGCTATATAATTTGTTTGCCTACAGGACCATAAAAAAATTACGTGTAAATTTTTGGTTGAACGGTAGTCGGATTTCAATACTTTTTGACCAATTAAGTGACCATTTCGATAGGAAGGCTCAATAAATTTCATAATAATACGATAAACAATTTATAACATCACGACCCTTAGGAAAGGAGTAATAACCATAAAAGCGTGTGCAACTGAACAGAACTATGATCATGAACTATTAGTTATTTCTCTACTATTGTTATTTCTCGATATTGATATCTTCATGTGTAAAAAGAAACATATAAGTAATACAACGAGAAATAAACTATGAAAAGTGTAACGAAGTGAAACATTGGATGATAAGGGTCGTAGCATCCGCAGCCGCTTTAATTATTCAACGGTGCTTTCAGATGTGCTTTGAACCTAATTGGGAACTCATTCGCTTATTTATCATTTTCCTTTGTCATGTTTTATTTATGGAATATTTTCTGAGAAAAGTAAAAATTGCGGCAGACGAACTCGGTTAAGCTAAAAACGGTTCTTTGTAAAGTTTAGTATAGGAAAATGAGAGCTACATTTGATTTTTATTCATTGATATTTTCGTATGTACTCATGCATGTTTTGCTAATATGCATATATCATATATACATATAAATGCAATGTATTATGGGTAATTTTTATGACATTTCAATAGTTTTGTTGCCTTCCAAAATCCAATAAAAAAACAATTGATTCTAACGTTAGAAATGTATCAGCCAGCGGCATGGACATGTCACCCTGGGTAAAACGAGCACATATGTTTTCCTGCAAAGTTAATAGATTAAAGGCCAACCCTGTTTGTGAAAGACAGACAGGAATTCGATTAAGACAAATAATTTTTAGCTACAACGAGTCCCTATTCGTTGATGATTCTGTCACCTCGCTCGGCCTATACCCTACATGCAGTTTGTCTCATGTTTTAGTAGTTTTTGCTACATGTAATGGTGTGATGGCTTGTTGTGGCAGAGCCTCTGCAGGGTACGGTGAATTGCAAAAAGCACTGTTTTACAACGATTAATAGAATACGTTACTTTTAGGCACATCCTGAGCATCCAGTAACGTCTGATGAAACGGTACCAGTTGAAATGTCACTCAATTACAGCACACCAGCAAGTCGGACTGTGAACACCACACCTGTCGGCCGGTCACGACCCATGGACTACACGTATGTAATGTTTTACTGTAAATTAACTTAACATTACTAAGTAAATAAACAGAACTGGGAACGCCAGAAATTCTAAACTTCTTCCTCGACGTTTGCGTTAAGGCGTAGGATTTTTTTATGGCATAGGAGAGCAAACGAACAGACGGGTCGCCTGCTGGCAAGTGTTTTTCGCCACCCATGGACAACTGCAACTCAAGAGTCACCTTTTAGTCCTCGATCTACAATCAGAGGAAACCCAAGTGGGCTTGGACTTCGCTAATCTACTCCGTGGGTAAGATTACCGTGGTAGGAGTCATACTTCGGCACAAACAGGTCGTCTCGACCGGAGTGTTACCACGGCCTTACAGAAAACCGGTGTTACGCAATTCTTCATCCCCAAAAACACCAACATAAACAAAAGGATGGCATTACAGTTAAACTAGAATTTCAAATTACACCAGAATAGTTTATTTCTACTTTCTATGTACATGTATTTATAGTTAAATTGAATCTCGTATGTCTGGGATACAGATTTTCTTTAGAGGCAACTTTTCTAATACATTTGGTTTATAAAGATAGTCGAGGTCCAAGGACTAAGAGGGTATAATGCACGTGTCATGTTTAATACGTGTTCAGTACAAAATAGTCACAACATCTTGGTACCATTCTTGGCACAACACGTGATAAAATTGTTTTTTATTTCGCCTCTTACGTTAATAGTTAAGCAGAGACCGTAACAGTTTCTTTTTTATTCAGAGTACCCCACAGATTACCTAATCCTTACACCTAATCATGACTAAATGGAAAAGTAGATGTCCGAATTGAATCGACTAAAACCACCCAGTATTCCATCACCAGGTCGTATGGCTGGGACCTCAGTATATAAATGTATAAATATATAAATGTACATAATTACGTGAAAGGATTATTTTAGTTAGAAACTTGAACAAAAATATCGAAAATTACTAATATTATATATATTATATTCCTTTCGATGAAAAGGATAAAGCTATGTCAATATTAAAAATCAAATAATAGAAAAAAACAAAGTTTCCTCATCTTAAAATGTTCAAATAATATTAGTAATAATATTTTAACACATCTCACAGACGGCCGTCTGATCCCAAACTAGGCAGAGCCTGTGCTATGGTAACCAGACTACTGATAAATATACTTATATATATCTAAATACATACATACTATAGATAAATTACACCCAGACATATACAGATAAATGACCTTGCTCATCACAGAATATTTGTCCTGGGTGGGAATCGAACCCAAAATTACTCACACCAATATATGTATTTTATAATGTAACATTATAGTAATTTAAAACAACGAGTAGCGAGCATAAAAATATGTTTCCTAGTGTAATTACATTCAGCTCTTGTACTTGTGTCTTTATGTATATGTATGTAGATGACACCTTTGTATCGTTGAACTATTTTTTTAATAAATTTTATGTTACTTACCTACGTATTTGTGAGTAGTATTACTTAGTAGTACTTAGTAATATGTGAGTTAGTAATATAAAACTTTCAAGTCATGGACAGAAATAGCTAAATACAGACACAATTATGTAAAGGACGAACAAAAACGTCCCTGCAGATTCACCCACACATGTCGAACAAAATTGTCCCAAATCGCTTCACAACAAGCGGGGTTAATGTATATTATACTTCGCCATACATACGTGAATACTGTGCGTATGTATTCGTTTCCTCGTTACTTTCAATACGTATATTTATCATAAGTTACCTTTCCCCGATATCTAGCTTGTACTGACAAATACTTTGCGAACACGTATGTTGAAATCTAATTTTATTGAACGTATTATATTATATAGCTCTGTTTTACTATTATTTAAGGTGATTATCTCCAAACTTAAGTTATATTTCATTACGTTTTATCCTATAAAATGGACAAATATCGGGGATCCTATTATTTGAATGAATCTTTCAATAAAAGAAACAGCTTTTATTGTGTTTTCTAAACTAAAACTATGTCAAGGTAACTAACATTTACGCCTTCGTAAACTACCACCAGTTAAAACCTTCTTGCACTTTTTAGCTCTAACGAACGAGATTCGATAATTCAATTGATATGAACAAACAGCGTTTGGAAAGTTACACAACACATTATTTTATCGTTCTTTGATTTAAATAACGTTGGCGATTTTAAAAGGAGTTGCGTTGCAAATATTAAAAAGATCGATCTGCATGAATACTGGGGACCTGGGTTTATATATCGACTCGACACTTGACTGGCGGGCACAGGTTACACACGTCGGCCAGAAAGTCACCACATGTCTCCGTGCCTTATATCGATTGAAGAACTTCCTTCCCGCTAAAACTAAGGTTACGCTTATGCAGTCCTTAATTATTCCCATAATCGACTATGGTAATGTGTGTTATTTCGACCTGAATGCAGACCTTCTCAATAAACTAGATCGCCTTCTCAATAACTGCATTCGATTCGTTTTCAATCTTCGCAAGTATGACCACGTGTCTGCTTTACGTTCCCAGCTGCAATGGCTCCCAATTCGTCAGCGCCGCAGTTTACGAGCACTGACTTCTCTCTTTTCTTTCCTCAACTCTCCATCGTTACCCGAATACCTCGTACCTCACTTCCGTTTCCTATGCTCCAATCACGATCGAAATCTTCGATCAACCAACAATATGCTTCTTCTTTGCCCTCCTCACACCTCTAACTTCATCAACTCCTCCTTCTACGTCCAGTCAGTCCTCCTCTGGAATGCCCTCCCTGCCGAAATCAGGATGTCAACAAATCGCCTTGCATTCAAGGGAAAAGTGCGCGATCTTCTTCGGGGTGAATTGGCGAAATAGTTACAGCTCTAGTTCCCGACTGAGTATTTATATATTTTATCAAAATTTATGTAGGTTTATGTATGCATGTGTGTTTTTATATTGTGTATGTTTCTGGACCTAAATTATGTTAATATCATATTTTATTTTGCACCTACCGCATCATATTTCTACATCACCTGAAGGTTGACTGGGAGAGAATGCCTAATGGCATTAAGTCCGCCTTTGTACAATATGTGCATTAAGTTTAAAATAAATAAATAAATAAATACTTCAAATGCGTAAATATCTTATTAATCTATCACTTATTAATCTATCTATTAACAGTTCCTTTAACCTCGGATAAGTAAGCTGATTTCGGTAACACGCAACAGGAATTTAGTTTACAGGATTATTACTTTGCTGACTGTCATACGACTGTCAAACACCTTGTGGTTTTGTTTGGGCCCTCGGGAATAATGCAGCTTTCCATCAATCCTATAAGCAAAATAATTGTTATTCGTCAGAAGTCAGGAGATTTTTGATGATTATCTATTATAATCATCAATACCACGGCCTCACAGAAAACCCATGGTAACCAATTATTTTATTACGTTTTACCGAGTTAGTACCTCACTAACTCGGTAAAACGCAACCGAAATCCTTAAACCCCTTTTGGGGCGGGGGGTGGTATTCACTTACTTCTCAGAGAAAGAAAACTTGAAACAAACCCTATATCAACCCGTCTGGTCAGCGTTGTATTGTAGGCCAAACCTTCTTAGGCCTATGTCCAGCAGTGGACTATTAAAAGGTATTGATGTGAGTCACTTGCCATCATTTGACCCGTCTGGCCCGCTTTCCTCAATTCAGAGTTAAAAGAAAATCTCAAGCCAGAGTTTCGACATTAGTCCAGTCGGTCTATTTATTTGTATTCTTAGGTCAAACAACATACAACTCTTAATAAAACAAGTTAATAGCCGTAATTTAGAAATATAAATATACCTAATAAGTTTAATTAATGTCAAGTTCTCTTGAAACAATTAGGTATCAGAAAGTTCTCGAAACGCGACAACTTCCTCGTAATTTATTTATCAAAGACTTTACATTGCCGTATATTTTTAAGATTTAACTTTTAATTGTTTCATTACTATTACTCTAATTTATACAAGTATTGGATATTTTTTTTTTAAACTGTGTGTTAAAAGTCCACTAAAGATTAATAAAAAAAAGGATTTTTTAAATTTATTCATTTATTGTTACCGCCTACCGCCCGCTTTTCGCTTGCAAAACCTTGTATGCCACCATTTCGGAGAGTGGTACTGTGGTTTAAATTAAACCGGATATGTATCGACCTCGGTTATCCAAATGTTCTTCTACGAGACCCAAAGAGAAGGTGACGGTTCGAAGTGTACCCAATCTCTACTCCCAGAAATGCGATCAACTTTTGAAAGAATTTTTAAAGGTCATTTTTAGGGTTCCGAACCTCAAAAGGAAAAAAAGGAAACCTTATAGGATCCCTTTGTTTTCCGTCCGTCCATTTGTTTGTCTTTCAAGACCCTTTATCTCAGGAACGCGAATTACTTACTAACTTTACTTTTATTATAGTAACGACTAATGGTAGTTGTTACTTTTACAAAAGTAAAAAACATTACTGATAATAGAAAAATATAAAGCTTTAAAAGCTTTACTTTATCATTATGCCCCAATCATACCCCAAGTAGGATAATCCTAAATTAGAAGTAATTATATCCTTCAGGATAAAATATTAGTCGTTATAAACTCGTACATTAATACATATCATTTATAACAATATAAATAGTCTGCAAACTTCGATTGGCAAACACCTACTAATATTTGAATTGTAACAAGTTTCATTAGAATGAAATCTTTACGCCGACTATCCTTTGTCACAGACTGAAACTTGTATATACCTTCAACACCTTTATGCCGTAAATTTCATACTGTATACCGTCTATTACTGAAGCTTTGTAGTCATTGTAATTAGATAAATTCTTTCTTAACATAATTAAAGCATAAGTCTATAGAGTTTTAAACCACAACAGGGCAAAATATATACTGGACCCCTATTAGGCTAGTCAACAAGTTTAAAAACGTGTCAATTCCTTATAAAGCTCCTAAAAATATGAGCGATGGCTCATTCTATTTGGAATGACGTCTAGAAAATGTACCTTCGATAGGTACATTTTCTAGACGTCATTATGTATTCGTCAAGTATGACGTCAAGTATGTATTAGCACATAAAAAACTGCAATTGTCATTAAAAAATTAAGATGAAAAAAAGATATCATTTAGTTTTTGGTTAATAACTCAAAAATTATTAACATATAATGAATTTTGAAAAAGATCCTTAAAGAAGATAATGAAGGTTTTGCACACACACATTTCTATAACCGTCATGACAGCGGTTATATAAATGTGTGTGTGCAAAACCTAAAAACTTAAAACCATCAACTTCCTCTTCATCAAATATCACGTTACATCTTTGACATAAAAGTTTATATCGCTATATCAGTTAAAGCAAAAGTTCAAATTTGTGCATGCAGGCTGTAACAATAAAACAAATTAGTTTAAGCAAGACATGTAATGGACTCAATTTTCAAATGAAACTGATAAATTTGTTACGATTGAATAGCTCACGGAAATTATACACACGATCGATATAGAAAGAAGCACGATTATTCGAGACGTTGGACAGAAGCATCCAAGCTTGTACTGGCAAATATTAGCCGAGGTAACCGATCTGTATATGTAGAGATAGGTTTCTGTGGAATTGTTTGCTGACATCTAGTTTACAGTGGAATTTTACAAATTGATTTGGAATGCGGATTATATTTTCGTAGGGCTTAAAATTATAATTTTTTCAGTCAGCATAAGTCTTAGTTATTTATTAATGTTAAATTGATGAAGATACTCTCTCGCTTCTCTTCAAAATATGTAACAATGTAACGATTTACGTCACAAATAATTTTTCTAAGATAACAATATCAGCTTCTGATCACAAGAACTTTTTTATGTGAAATTTGGATTGTTTCTTAAGATACTTGCTGTAAGACCTTGCTAACAATTTATAATTCTAAATCAATGAGAAGTTACCTATAGGTTATGATTTACTTGCGATATGGTAAATTTATGTATTTAAATGACTTTCACTTTGATTGCATTGACTTAAAAACTTGAGATTTTTACAGTTTTAAGGGACCGCAGACATAGATTTTCTGAAACACGGTTGTTTTGGTCTTTTTAAGACGATCTTCGAGAAGTATTTTCATAAAAGTTTTCAAGGAATCCTCGGTGCCAGAGTCAAACCTACGTTTGTCCACTTTTTTATTATACAACCCCCATTTCATTTCATAATCATACGCCTCGGTGGCGCAGTAGGCAGCGCGTAAGTCTCATAATCTTAAGGTCGTGAGTTCGATCCTCACCCGGGGCAATTTTTTTCCTAATTATACAGTTTTTTTTGATCTCATTAAAACTAGATCCTTATCCTAGAACATTTTTGACTAAGGTGTAGAGAGAAGAACATTTTTGTGGAGTTAGGGCTTGTAGATCACATTAGACATGAGATGTGATAACTTTTTTGACAGTCCGAGCAGTCTCCTCTTGGTAATATTTTACATGAAAATGTTTGTGGTGGGATTTAACTTCTTAAAAATTAAAAAATATGTTAAATTCTTATTTAGTTTTTTAATGCTTTAAAATCCTTTCAAATAAAATGATAAATCCCATTAAATATGTTTAGAACGTAAAAAACTTATCGTGTTTATTTAACAAAGTTTAAATGTATTCTGAGAACGCGATTAATTGCTACTTAAACATGATTTACTCAAGCTCTACGTTACTACTAAAGGGACGATAAATAAAAGACGGCTGTTTAACTTTAATCAGTACACTAAAATTGTTACAGAATTAAAATAAATGCGTAAGATGAACATAAGGTTAAAATTACACTTACTTTATATAATTCGTAAATATCAAAATAGCTTTATTGGTTTGGTCATTTTTTTTTATATTTTCACTCAATTAAATGACTTGACTATTGAAATGTTGTAAGTTTTGTAATTTTCATCGAATTGTTTCATTTGTTTGCTAATAACAGATGGCCAACCGAGCACAGTCCATGCTCCGTATCTTGTGGAGGCGGAATGCGGTTTGCGCGACCACGCTGCCTACGTGAACATAGATGTCCCCCGGTACTGGAACCATGTAATACACACAGGTAAATTTGTATACATATCCCCTCACAAATTTAAGTTAAAGAACATACATCATAAATAAATAAACACAAATAAACATAAATCACTTAATCACTAATTCTTCAAGTTTTCAACTAGTACCACAGTTACCACTTTAGTTGTGAACTTTGTAATGAATACTAACAAACATCAATACAACAAATAAAAATCCGTATGGCACGGAGTGTCACCACCCCTTTTCATCCCGTGGGTGTCGTAAGAAGCAACTAAGGAAGCTAACTACGCAGGTCAACAGCACAGTAAAGAGAAGGAAAGCTGGTATAGAAGGGCAAAACCTTCTTTCTAATGAGAGGCCTATGCCTACCAGTGGACTATTAAAGTTTGTTGATGTTAATGTGTAATGTGATCAATACAGCTAAACACACATTCAATGGATACATCACACTAGACGACATCAACTTTGTTTGCTAATGCTTTGTTTTGTTGATCACTTGTTATGCTACCACTCCCTAACTACTAAACCGATCATCATGAGATTTTCGCTACAAGATCTCAGAAATGATCATAAGGTTTACGAAGGATAGAACAGAACTTTTAGACTTTCATTCTGTTTGACAAACCCTCCATTAGACTACACGAGCGAAGCTGTGGGTAATATAAATAGCTTGACCAACTTTATAACATAGTACTCGTATATAACGTATAGGTCGAAAGGATTCGGCACTGATGACGCACTGTATAGGTCTACACGTGAGACCAAGCACCTGACTGATTTTACTAATTTAGGCTAAGAACATTGTTATTTACAAATTGTATTTACTCAGTCTGAAATAAACTAGTCCAATGGTTAGTGACTAACTGCTAAGCCAGAGATCGTGGATTCGATTCCCACTCAGAACAAATAATTGTGTCATGAACACGGCTATTTGACCTGTGTCTGGGTGTAATTTATCTAAAATATCTACCTATTTAGAAATTTATAAATATGTTTATCAATAGTCTGGTTGCCATACTAGAAAGCTCGGTCTAGTTTGGGAATAGACGGCTGTGTATGAGATGTGTGGACCTTGATAAAGGGTGAACTAAATGACTGATTCCTATAAGTCACACGTGTCAGTTTTATTAAAAATTCAGCTAGTGTATACTCCGGGCGTGTACCTAATGATTTTATCGTGATCAAAAAGTACCTTGAAGATAAGAAACTATACACATTGGGAGAAGTAGCAAAATGCGTTTATCAATGTTTTATGGCAAATACATGTTCAAGACTATATGTTTCGTTCTTCTTTCTGGAATTTTTGCCTATTGTTTTACTGTTTCATGATCATATTTATTGTCAACAGAAGTTTATGTATGTATGTTGAATTAAATATAATTATATTCTCAAATTTACGTCGCATGTAAGCAACAGTTTGCAGCAATAAATACGACATGGTGTAACGATTTATTAGTTTGTAATACCAAATGAAATTCCATCAATTGAATTGTAGTTAAGACGAGGCCCAGGAATACTAATATAATGGAAAATATTCCGAACTTGTAAGAATTTTCTAAAAACTTGGGCAGTGATTCACCATCTTTGTAAGAAGGCAGAAAAAAAAACGAAATCTTTCATGTTTACATAATTCTTCTACATAGATTATTCTTATTGTTAAAGAGTTTTTTACATCAAAATGATTTTTTATGATTTATCGCTTTATAATTATCTAACTCCGAACCATTAACAATTTCGTATACATACTATAACAACAAACAAGGAACAATTTTAATAGAAACATTTTTCACTGCAATGTAACCTTTTTTTTTTTTTGGTATTGGTATTGGTTGTGGGCCTCGGTTTCCGCATTTAGACTCAGAGTGGTCCTTTATGCGTCGGGGATTGGCTGACTAGGTGAGCCAGCCAAGCTCCTTCCAGAAGCGCAGAAGCCTCCTGGGGCGTTCACAGGCTTCTAGGAGCGACTTTATATCAGGAATGATATTTGCCCGTTGTGTGGCCACTCCCTCGCATTCCAGGACTACGTGGGCGGCCGTTTCTTCAGCTTCCAGACACCCCCTGCACAGGGGGCTGTCCGTCGCATTGACTATGAATAGTTGTCGGTTCAGGGCTAGATGTCCTGTAATAGTTCCGACAACCATTCTGATGTCCGGTCTGCTAAGACTGATCAGTCTGCAGGTGAGTCGTGGCGTGACTTGATTCAGCACCAGTTTGGACTGTCTGCAGCCGGGTGAGTTTTTCCACCTCCGGTTGTGTGCTTCACAGGTCCGTTGCCTGACCCAGCATCGTATTTGGTTAAACGATATGGGCAGAAGTGGGGTTGGGCCAGAGGTTGGGGTTGCCGATCCCCTCCTTGCCAACTCATCTGCGGCATCGTTCCCGTGTGAGTTACTGTGCCCTTTAATCCATTGGAGGAGTACCCCATTGAATATAGCGAGCTGTTCCAGTGCTTGGTGGCATTCGAGGACAACACCAGAGGTCATTGTGTTGCCCTCCAATGCCTTTAAGACGGCCATGCTGTCGGATATTATTCGGATGTTGTAGTCCTTGATACCCCTTGACATGGCCGTTGTGGCGGCGTAAGTTATTGCCACACATTCACATTGAAATATGGAGCTGTGTTGGCCTAACGCTAGTGATATGTTTATATTTAGGTCTTGCGAGAAAACTCCGGCTCCAGTTCCTGACCTAGTCTTGGAACCGTCCGTGTAAATTCGGACTTCGTTAATGCCGGATTGATCACGGTCATTTCCATGTATCTGGATGTAGTATCTTCTTGTGAAGATATGGTGTTTTGGGATTCTATCGCATGGAGCTGCTATCAGTGGTTCGTATTCCACCAATTGATCCCATAATTTAGAGTGCGATCCCTCCCTTTTGTGCCATAGACCCAGGTGTTTGAGTCTAATGATCGCCATGGCGGCCTCCTGCTGTATGAATAGATCCAGGGGTGGCAGACCAAGAGCCACCTCCAGTGCGGCAGTAGGCGTTGTGCGCATACAGCCAGTGACCGCGGAGCATGGGAGTCGCTGGAATTGCTGCAGTTTGTTTATGACGGTGCTTAGCTCTGTTCTCTGCCACCAGACAACAGCACCGTAAGTGATTATTGGTCTTATGACTGTCCTGTATAGCCATAAAGTAATTTTGGGTGATAGTCCCCAGCTTTTGCCGAGTAGCCGCTTGCATTGGCAGAAAATAATGCAGGCTTTATTCAGTTTTTCATCGAGGTGCTTATTCCACAGGAGTTTACTGTCCAGTATTACTCCTAGGTATTTGACCTCTTTGGTAAGAGTAAGTTGTGTTCCAAATAGCTTGGGAAGTCTGAGATTTCCTAGGCTGCGTTTGTTTGTGAACATGATCATCTCTGTTTTGGATGGGTTCACTGTCAGGTTGTGTGCTGCGCACCATTGTTCCACGATCTTCAGTGCAAGTCTCATTTGATCGCATGTAATGCTCTCAAAAGGACCGCTGATGAGAATGGTAAGATCGTCTGCATAGCCTATTGTGAGGAATCTTTGGTCATTGAGTTGTGCGATGAGCTCATCCACAACAATGTTCCATAGAAGGGGGGGAGAGTACACCGCCCTGGGGGCAACCTCTAGCCACCACTCCTCTAGTCACTTCGCTCACAGTGAATTGTATAGCTCTATATCTTAGCATGCTGTCAATCCACCCTGAGATTGTGGAATCAACACCATGCCTAGAAAGAGCTTGGCTAATGCTGGTGAAGTTGGTCTTGTCAAAGGCTCCCTCGATATCGATAAAGGTGGCCAGTGTTGACCTTTTGTGATTTAGATTGTCTTCTATATATGAAACAACTCGATGTAGGGCAGATTCTGTTGATTTACCCATCGAGTATGCGTGTTGATTGAGGTGTAGAGGGTGACTGACTAACGCAGTTTCCCTGATTTCCCTATCTATTAGCCTCTCAAGAACCTTTAGTAGGAAAGATGTGAGACTAATAGGTCGGTGTGATTTGGGTTGTGTGTAGTCACCTTTACCAGGTTTGGGGATGAAGACTACTTTAACTTCTCTCCATTTCAAGGGGATGTACTGATGCGCCAGGCAGCCCCTATAGATTTTTATAAGATGGTCCAGTAATGTCGTATCAGACCATCTCAGTAGGCCTGGGAAGACACCATCTAGTCCTGGCGCCTTGAATGGTAGGAAGCTGTTAATTGCCCATCTTAGTTTGTCATGGGTGACAACTTTGCGGGCCGTATCCCAGTCTGTATCATCTGGTGGTTTTTCCCATCTGTCTTCCCATTTTTCCATCACATCTGATATGCGACATCCAGGGAAGTGTGTTTTTAATAACAGCTCTGAGGCTTCCGAGTCTGTTTTGGTATACTCACCATCAGGCTTCTTCAGTGAGCCAAGATTGTGTTCGCCTCTACTACACAGTATGATTTTGACTCTATTGGCCTGGTTGTTGTTCTCTATGTTAGTACAGAAGTTTCTCCAGCACTCAGTTTTCCTGGTTCTGATTCTCTTCTTATATTGTTGTCGGGCCTGCGTGTAGGCATCCCAATGTTGGTCTAATCGCGAGTTTTTTGCTTTATTGAACAACTTTCTCACTTTACGACGTAGTCTTTCCAGTTCCGGACCCCACCATTGGTGTTTGTTCTGTGGTCCAGTTCTGGGTGTGGAAAGTGGGCATGTTTGTTCAAAGCAATCGATCAGTGTCTGTGTAAGGTTGACAACATGACTGTCAATGTCCTTAACAGTCCCCGTAGCGTATGTTGGGTTGATGCTTCGCAGATTCTCCGCAGTAAGATGTTCATACCGTTTCCGGTCCATCGTGCGGGGATTCCGTCGGGGATCGGGTAGTTTAAGTTTCATTTCAAAGTTAAATTTGATCCAGCGATGGTCTGAGCACGATGCTTCGTTCGAAACATGCCAGTTCGATATGTGTTGCGATGCGTGCTCACTTGCTAATGTAAGATCAATTATAGTTTGGGCCCTGGACGTGACAAATGTCGGCTCCGAGCCCACGTTGATAATGTTAAGGTTGGTTGATAATAGGAACGATACAAATTCCTCACCTCTCCGGTTGTTGCTCCTGCTGCCCCACAGCGCATGGTGCGCGTTGGTGTCGGCAGAGATGATCAGCTCTAGACCCTCGCGCTCGCAGTGGTGTGCCAGCGCAGCCAGCTCCGGAGTGGGGATGTCAGCATCGCCCGGCAAGTAGGCTGATGCTATCACCACGTCAGGCAGGTTTGATGAGGGTTCCTTTAACCTAACAGAGGTAAGGTCTCTGGAACAGAACTCGGTCATTAAGGTAGTACACGCATGTTTTGGTGTATAAATACAAGTGCGCGGGTTATCAATGGTAGTGTTGAGAAGTATCTTACCTCCAATATTATTTAGACCGCAGATCCTGCCCTTCCTAATCCACGGCTCCTGGATTAGGGCTACGGTGTTGGTTTTTACCTCCAGCTCTCTGCGTAGGGTAGCCGTTGCTGTATGGCTGTGCTGGAGGTTGATTTGGATGGCTATAAGGGTGTTATGGGGGGGTGCAGACAGCGCCATCATCGCTGTTCAGCATATCCTCTATGTCGTCGAGGTCACTCTCGCCCACCGGTAGGTCCTCCAACTCCTCAGGAGGTGGACCCCGGCAGGCTGTTTCCTCAACGGGTCTCAGAGGATCCCCTCCATTGCCGTCCTTAGGGTGTTGTAGGGCCGATTCTCCTCCTCCCTCGAATGGCTCCTCGTTTGGGTTAGTTGGTGGGGCGGGACGTTCATCAAGGAAGCGAACGTAGAGGTTACCCAGTTTGTAGTATACTCTACGCTCGCTAGCCTTGAGCTTCACGACGTCCTCTTCTGGGATACCGAGCACTAGGAAGAGACATTTCTTTTCCTCCTGCGCCTCGGCATGGTAGAGGGCCCAGTTGGCCACATTGTACTGGCTATTTTGGTACTTTAGCCTCGTTTGAATACGGACCAGTGTATCATCTGGTCCGATTTGTGGTACCAGGAGTCCAGCCTTGATCCTTTTCGGGATCTCAGACTGCCTCCTGACGACCAGTTTGGTGCCTTCACGTGGTGATGGGATCCTTACCAGGGATCGGCGAAGCCACTGTAGGGCATATTCGTCGTTGCACCACATCTTAAGGGCGCCCTCACTGTAGAAGGCCTTGCCCCTAAACTGAGGCGCAGCGACGGGTGCGCTTGACGTGCCGGGCGAGAAGATCTCCTCATCTAGCACGCCCTGCAGCTGGCCCTCGATGTCCTCTGCCTGTGCCTTGGTGAGGTCGTGGTAAGGCTCCAGCATGACCGCGACGCAAAGGTCATTCGCCTTTAGTGCGTCGGAGTAACTCGTGGAGCCGGTCTTTGGCAGCGGTTTGAATCGCTTGCCACTGCCCTGGGGAGTGCGAGACTCGTCCGGGCGAGTTCTTTTGACGGGCTTTGTATCACTTGAAGGTTTCCCTCCACGTGTCGCTCGTCTCGCCCGTTTACCCTGTCCAGGTTGACCCTGCCTAGAGGGTACTTTGGCCGCTACAGGCGTCTTGGCAGGTGGCGCCCCCACAGGAGTACACTTCCCCGTGGCTTGACTTTCGTCTTCGCCTCGGGGCAGCACGTCACTGGCGGGGGCAACGTGGGCCCCTTCGGGCCCTTCAGCGACTTCAAGCCGCTTACTTCCACCCGAGTTCAGACACCGTGCTTGCCTTTCCACTCGGGCTTTCGCCCTGTTGGCGTTACGGGTCTTCTTGGACGGGTTTGGTTTTTTCGACGCTCTCTTCTTTGTCCTTACCAGGCTCCAGCCGGTTTCTTCCAGGCCGGGTCCCGCAGGTACGGGCATTGCTGCCCTCAAAGAGGAGAGGTCGATGGTCGACACTGGCTCCGTATTCTGGTTAGACACCAGAGGTGTCGCCAGAGTCGTGGATGGCGCTGCGGTCGGGTTGTTTGCCTGAGCAGCAGCCAATGGTGTATTTTCCGGATTCACCCTTGGGTTGTTCACCCTGGGGTCAGCCGATTGGTGGTTTAGCCTGGCACTTGGGTTGTTCACCCTCGGTAAAGGCTTGGTGGTTTTTTTATTAATTGGTTTTTTAGTATCCATAGTTGTTTTGGTATACTATTCATCTCCTTGTCCTTCCACCCTCCTTGGAGCCCTCAAGTGGGGACGCCGCGGCAGAAGGCACACGACGCCAGAAGTGACAAGGAAATATAGAGCTCCCTCCCTGGCAGAAGGCAGGCCGAACTAGGTAGGAAGACTTGGTCGTCCCACCCGTCGTCCACCCCCACCAAAGAAGAGCTCTCGCCCAGCAGCCCTCTGACGGGATACTACAGCCGATTGACCAAAGGTGGCTAGCCTTCAGCCTCCCGTGTAAAGAGAAATCCAGGCCAAAGCAGTGTGTTGCCTTTCAGCTCAACTACCAGGATCCCTTCATCCTCCCTTACGGGTCCCCGCACACGGCACAAACATGCGGGTGGTTGCCCCCCCTCCCCCTCACTCTCAGTCTTTGTTGATAGTGAGGCCGCAGGCACCAACCACTTAGTGTCCGCAGTAGGTGTAGATGGGATAGAAAATGGGAAGGGATAGGTTTTGTGGGATGGAATTGCGTCTGGGTGTTTCTGTTATATCTGTTTCGTAGGGAATCAGACCTAAAACAGGCGGCAACCACGGGAAGGATGACACCCAGACTTGCCATGGGGATCTACACGACCGTTGCGCTCTCCCCCATGACCATTCGCCGTGTACGCCCTCCGGACAGGAGGGCGTACCAGGATTGGATCTGCTCCAGGCGATCTTGGCCTATTGGAGCACACCCAACCCCGCCCAATGTAACCTTTATTCTGTACCTAATCTGTGTCTATAACAAAACTAACTGCTATTATTTTAATAACATGCTAATTTCCTAACGGGCGTAGTAAGTAAACATTATTGTCTGCTCTACTAATGTAAATGGAGCTTAACCAAATTAATATTTCATTGTCGTAGCCAACCTGACCCAAAATTAATAACTCTGTATACATATACTGTGGAAAGGACCCCTTTAAATATTCATAAATCGTTAAGTTATTTGCTCTTTATACAACTTACTTTCGTCATCTAAAATTTGTGATTTAAATGAGGCAAACGGTTGGAGGTAATTCTGTCTCATTGTCGGCTTTGTTCAGCTTTCAAATGCCTGTTATAAATATCAAATGAATTTTTTAGCTTGTAAATTTTATTTAAAATATAACCAAACCAGAATGAGCCCTTCTGCTAAAGTTATAACAAAAATAATATATTATGGTTTATAATAAATAATAATATAAACTATTAATGTGTACTGTCAGCAATATTGATCACTTTGTACTCCGAGAAACTCTAAGTCAAATTAATCCAAACAAATTTACAAGTTCTCATTAATTGATACGAATATTGAATTCCCTTTAACCGGATACGTATACACATACACACACACAATTAGTGCAATTACTACCTAATGTACACAAACCGAACATCATGAAGAGCATATAGATGTGGAAATGTACGCTAGATGTCTAGTTAAGTAATTACCTATGTATAAAATTTCTACTACTTCTTAATTTTCTTGAAAAAAAAAATTGAAATGAGAAAATTTATAATATAATAAAATAAATTTGAAATATTTAAATTGATTTTAGACTATGTTAAAGTCGCTTTGATATTCATATTTCACTTCAGTTCACAAATAAAAAGTAATAGTTTCGAACTTAATTATTAATACATCCATTAAATGATAAAAGACGACGACACAAACACAAAAACTAGGACCAGGCGTCCATCCATTTATCAAGCAAGACATTTTTCTATTCACCTCAAGCTTAAAACTTAAATCCAGTGATACATAATACAGTTACACAATACGGAACAATATATTGCGCAATCTATGCAAAATTTAAGGTAATGCCTGTACCTCTGTAAGGAACTCTCCACTACATCTGTCTAATTTAGGTCATAGTTTCACAAATATGGATAGACTGTTGTGGCAATAATATTTGTATTTTGTGTGTTTGTTAGCTGCGAGTTCACGTGGTCTGAAGGCGAGTGGGAAGAGTGCAGCGCCACGTGCGGTGATACAGGCGTGCAGGAAAGACAGCTCTACTGCGTGCCGCTCAACGTTAGGTTAGGGACTGGTCTACATAATTTTATACACTAATATTCGTTTAGTGATTGAAATTTTAGCGTAATATTAACATAAGTGACAAAACACTTCGAAATGGTTCTATTAATGACACTAAAGCATATAACAGCTATTATCCTAAATCGGTCGATAAGCATTATAAAAAAATTTAATTACCAAACGTTTTTTATGACTACTAATATACACATGTAGGTTTAAAATGTGTAAGGAATTAGGTGTAATGTGAAACTTTATGTGAAACGAACAATTTAACTGACTAGCTTCACGCATTATCTAGATGATTAAAAAGAAATCAAATTTTGATCTTGCTGTCTGTCTTTGTTCTAGCTCTATTTATAAAATGAGTCAAAATAAAGTCAAAAATAATTATTTAATGAGTAATCAAATTGCTACTTAACAGATTCTTAACTGTTCAAACAAAAAGTCATTTCAGTATTAAACTTTAATTTTCAGTATATCATCACGAAGAGATCTATTGAGATACAGTGTATCACCAGCGCTATGCTCGTCAAAACAGCCCAGTAAAACACAACCATGCAATCGTATTCAATGTCCCGTGTATTGGCGTGAAATGCCTTGGACACAGGTAACATTCAAACCCATGTTATGTGTATAATTGTGTCTCTGATTGTCATACGTGGTATCAAACGTGATAAAATTATTGATGATGCTTAATTTACCTGAAACGTCTTGTTAAGGCTAAGAAAAGGAAGCCATACTGTCTTTACTTCTTGCAAAAATGATGATCAATTTATTTTGCATTAGAAACATTCAAGAACTGTAAACAAATTAAGACATTTTAGTAATAATTTTCCACGGGATGAAAACAGTAGAGGATAAGCATATGTAGGCTTTCTTTTGACCAATATGTAGCCCATAGACATATAGGTCAAAAGATAGAAACGTAAATATATGAACTGCTATATAAAAATGCAAATGGTACCTTCATGATAAAATCATGAAGCCGTGAGTGGTATAGTTTGAGCTGGCGCACAAAGATCACAAAGTGAATTTTAAGGTAAAATGTTGAGGACAAAGTTCTGTCGCGAAGTGAAAGAGTTATCGAGGTCTTTACATATATATAAGTAATCTATATATATTGAGTAAAGACGATAGTTTTTTTTTATATATCCGTTTATATGGTTTATAGAATATTAGCATTATTAAGCAATTTTATATTTGAGGTAACGAACGGAATCTCATTTTGGTATCTGGTAACAAACGGAATCTCATTTTGATATCTCCAATAAACATACTTCCATAATAAATTAAACTATAAATTATAACCATTATTAGAAAACTGCAATCTAAAATTAAGATAGGCTTTTTAAGCATCTTAACTCTATTAACTAATTTCGTTGTTCTTCTTTGACAGTGTTCAGTAACCTGTGGTCGCGGCGTGTCACGCCGTCCTCTAGTATGTCCGGCACCCAACGAGCATCTCTGTGGTAAGAAACCGCGGGAACGTACCCGTCGTTGTCGCGCCAGACAATGCTCCTCCCGCCGTTTTCCTCCACGCAACCCTGTGTGTCCTCCAGCAGACACTACACAGTACTGCGAACTGTTCCCCCCGGATGAACTGAAAAGAAATTGTTTCGTACCACCGTTCAGGAAGTATTGTTGCAACGCGTGTAGAGAAGTTGATAGGGGACATTTTAGAGGCAATGGATAGAAGGTCAACTGCAGTTCGTAACATGTGTCAGATGGCCACTAGAGTACTTGAAACTTCATGCATTACGAAGGATCAGTGGCAATTGCATGTTGTGACATCATTGAAAGCAGATTACGAAAACGGCGGCAGACAAAAAAGATCCTTGATATATATGCTTATATTCAAGCTAAGCTCTATTATCCTATGGGGCAAGTAGTGAAGTAGTAATGTAATGTCGTATAGTAGGAGTGTCAATGTAACCAGTATTTTTGTATGTTGTTTTTACCATATTATGAGTTAAGATATTAGTGTAATATTACAATAAGCTTAAAATATAATTAATAATAATTAAAGCGCAACGAAGTGCCATAATATATTGTACACTATTTCCGCGTAATTAAATGCTATTCTTATAAAAGTACTCGTTTTATTTGTAACCTGTACATATTTTGGATCTAAATTGATGATTAATCAGTTTTTCCATATTGAAAAGATTCAATATAACGTATTGAAAGCGGGGTGGAGAACACAGCTGATGAATCAGTGTTATTGGTCACAAATTACAAATAAAGTAGATATAATTCTTACTTCATTTAAATAAAATACTTCATCGTGAAGCAAGTTTAGTGAAGGCGAAATAAATATTAGTGAATGAATTAATCACACACCAAGTCAAGAAGTTCAGTAAAATGGAAACCAAGGAACCTACTTGTACATACATATTACTGAGACATGGTACGCTACACGAGTCTGCTACCAAATCTTTACAAACAATGCAATGCATGCTTTGGAAGCAATCCTGAAATTAAACAAAAAATTCTCTCTATTATTATTTTATTTTATCTATACTCTACTCGTTGTTGACTAGTTCAAATCGGATCGTTAGTTCAAGGTTGCTGGTGTTTAAAATATCATGAAAACTAAAATCAATAAGACATTTGAAAGTTAGTAAGAACATTATGTCAAGTAGAAAATGAGCTGATGGTATCCAACCTTGCGGGCTAATCTTTATAAATTATAGTCAGCTATCAAAAATTAAAACCCTGTCAAAATTGCACAACACAAAAATACAGGCACACAAGTGTAACTTATAAACTTTTTGCATTTGGCGTTAAGAACAATAAGCTATAATATTATCAGTGATCACACAAATAATAATGCACAGACAAGGAACTTTCTAAGACATTGTAATCTAACTTTACGTTATCGATTTACTTACTAAGTTACGTATGTCGACGGCACTCGCTCCGTGCAAATACTGATAAATCCGCAGCAACAGGTTAGCGTGGAAACTGAACGAAATAAGAGAAAATTTCAAGTCTGATCCTCGGGCATTTTAAAAGCTACAGTATTCTTAAAGTCGTATTTTATTTTACCTGTGTTCTACAACGATAAATCCTCGGGGCTTATACAACCGATGAACTATTTTTAGATGTTTCAATATTCCTATCTCTCATCAAAATTTCCTTCTTAATTTTGATAGTGTACTTAGATCTTTTGTCTGATGGATGGACTTAGATTTTTTGTCGTATTCAAAGTAAGATACTTATTGATATTGAAAGTACATAATATAAAGGGCAACTGAATAAGTTTTTCGATGCATGCTGGCGATATGACTTATGGTCCAAGAGCTAGTCAACCATTCGACGAATCCGTTTTCCACAAGGTTTTTTTTTTCTTAATTTCGTTTTATTATCTATCAATGAAGTAGCCAATTTTATCTTTTAAAAAAAAAAGGGTTATTTAATACAATTAAATACATACTTTAGATACGTTGTACATTTAATGAAATAAAATAAAATATATAATAATAAAATGAATATCTAGAAGATATTATAGTTTTAAAATGCAGGAGCAGAGCGTGCCTGTTTTTTTTTGTAAAGAATTCTAATCATAATAATATCTAGCATCTACTTTGCAACCGTGGCAAGCTTGGATCGGATGGCTAGTTAAGTTTGTAATAGTCATGACGTTAGATATACAGCGTTCACGACGTCGACAGCGACAGACGGACACAACGTATCAAACAAAAAAAGATGTAAAAAAATAAGCAGTAAAAAGTATACTATCCTTCCTCAAGAATCAAACTGTCTACATACTAAATTTCATCTGAATTGGTTCAGTGGTTATTGAAGGCCCGTACAAACTTCCATCCTCACCCCCTTAAATTACGATTTCTGGGATAAAATTATCCTTATACCTAAATTCATCTAAACTGTTTCAGCGGTTTAAACGTGAAGAGATAACAGACAGACAAATAGACAGGCAGCCATACATACTTTCGCGTTTATGATATTAGTATGGTTTTTATGAAAGTATGGATTTTCTCTTTTTGACATAAGAACTTGTATTTTGTATTATATACGTGTTGTATTGTATACGTCACTCCTATCTATCTATCTCGTCGTCTCGTCTACTATTATATACTCATCTAGAGGCAGTTGCAACCGCCAGAATCGGTTGACAGCCAACCTGTTCTGGCGGTTGCACGTATACCTTTTAAACTATTAAGAGATTATTCCATTCAAATGTGATCCTTGGGGCAGCAGGTTGTGAATTATTGCCTATTTGATACCTTTGCTATCTACCACCTTGCACATCCTTACAGCCTTCAAAATAGGTTGTTTTTTTTTTATACTTGAATATGTGTAAATTACAACGTATTAAAATTTCAGCCTCGTGGGAGTAGGTTAAAAACATTTTTTGTGAAATATTTTTTTTTGTGATGATGACGCAATCTCAAAATCGGAACGGTACTTTCTTCATTGACAGATAATAAAACGTGTAAGTGGAATGGTTCTCTAGCTCTCCTACAATATATAACTCTAAGATAAAAAAAAATGCAAATACAGGAGTCACTGTTTGGCATAAAGGGTCAACACTAGTATCCGATTATAATGTACCCGTACCGAGAAAGTCTTAGGGGTAAAAAGCAGTTAGTTTCTCTTTTCGCTTAATGCATTCAATATTATAGTACCACAATGTCGTCAAGACTTTGGTGACTATCATTGCGGTTACCCACATGTTTTGTTAATGTGAAACATCTAATGCGTAGATTCAGACCATCTGTTCGAGTTGCGACGCACCGCAACAGCATTACGCATGCTGTTGCGGTGCTCATGCTCATGTGCATCATGCTATGTGATAGTCAATGTAACATGTTGCGGTGTAGCGATACGTCGCAATGCGCTAATGACTCTGCGACTCTCTCGCACTGATTTTCAAAGTGATTTTACACTCATTATTTCTACAAAATAATTTCGATGTTTCACACCTACCACTGCTGGACATAGGCCTCTCCCATTGCACGCCACTTAGATCGATTTACTGAAATAAACACAAGTACTGCGACAGCGATAAGCTGATAATGACAACTACCAGAAATCCCGCGACAGCTTGATTTTTTGGTGTAGAAGGCAATTGAACAGACGGGTCACCTAAGTGGCTATCGCTACCAATGGACACCTATAACACACACACAAGCACTTGCGACTCCCTTGACTTGTGTCCAGTGTCCGGTGTCGGTCCGGTTGCCGGACATTGAGTGCTCCGCCAGAATTAATGGGGCTTTTGGTAACCTCACTCTATTGGTAAATTGTAAGGAAAGAATAGTTTAACTCCGGTTTTCACGGATACTTTAAATTTTATTGATAATTTCGTCTATTTGGGAAATCAATTTAGGTCGGTTATCAAGTATAGTAACTTTCGAAAACTCATAATCTTTAAGGGTAAAGGCGGTATTAATTTTGACCTTCTAAAGTTAAGTACTCTTTAACACAAGTAGGTACTTTGGCAATACTTTGAACAATCGCTTTTAATCAGTAAATCGTCTTCCAAATACCTATAAAACTAGACTGACCTACACAATAAATGAAAATATACGTTAAATATTGATGTAATTAAAATTACTTAATGTATAACTCACTTTTTGTGTATTTCATTCTGTTTTACAGTAACTTATTTTATATATCGTGTGGCAAATCTCACCGGCCATCACCCTCATAGTGAAATTTTATATCGGATCACACGGTGCTCCGTCACATGTGATTCTTTTGCAAGAAACTCGAATATATCCGAGGAAGGAAGTCCCTGAGAACCCTGGCAGACCTTGGCCGCCATTAGTAATAGGCATAGGCCTTATACCATTTCTTCTACAGGAAAGAAGTAGCTCACTTTGGACCGAGAGCGGGAGGTTTCCCACACCAATATCTGCTGTAAGATTGAATTGTTGTTGCGTCCACGCCGAGCACTCTACTAGAATCATAATATAATATGCTTATAACACTTAAAGGATGAAATACATGAAAAACTATAAAAGAGTTAAACATATTAGTGCATATATATTTATATATATTAGGTTACAAAAGCTATTATTTGTCTTATCTCTTTATACACAAAATTATATTCGTTGTTTCTTTTATAGTGCGTAAATTTGACTCGGCTCTCTTGACTCGACTCGAAATACAGAAACTTCGTTGTTAATGTTTACTACAGTTCCGATGTAGGTTTATGAGAGTCAACTCTTCCAAGTTCTTAATTTATTGTAAACATTTCCTAGCCTTGTTTACCAATGGTTTTGATCTCATAGTAACAAGGCATATCACTTCCCTACTCATATTGAATTAGATTCATTTGTCACCTTTTCTTTCTTATTTTATCTATTTGTATTTGACATAATCGAAACGAAACTTTGTTTGTGTATGTAGTTTGGATGACAATACTATGATTTAGCAACTTAGAGCTGATCTGACAGTAAAATCAGAACATGGATATTGGTTTTCTTGATTGACTACTTTTAATAAATCCCTCGAGTGTGGACTGCTATGATTGGTTTAGATGAGTCCATCAGATTGGGCTTAGCGATGTTGTAATAGTCAGTCTTTTTACTTTTTAATTCGACTCGCTGTTTAAGCGTGCAGTTTAGTTTTAATAAATTGTGATTCCTCATAAAATTCAATTGCCTGTCTAATAAAATGTACCCAAACCTTCACTTTAAAACGCCAGTTTTGTGCAAATAGTCA